AGCCATGCCCCCTCACCCCCAAACATTCACTTTGCATTCATAATAGACACAACTGACCAGAAGTGGAGAGCTGCTCGGGCGAGAAGCATCTTATTCTTTAGAGCCAGGTGTGGGAAAATGGGTGTGAGTGGGTGAGGGGGTCTCCTCTGTCCACAGCATCTAGATACACCAGGTCCTTCCCTTTTGAAGGACCTGGATAAGAGTGTTCAACTCAGCTGGAATACATCCAGAGCTCATTATACAAAACTTAAAAAATACTTTTAAAAACAGATCCTTCTTAGATGAATAATATTGGCAACCAACTGAACATAATATAAAAACAATAATAATTCTTCTTACCTGTGGTTGAGTCCCATAAAATACATATCCTCGGGGCTTTCCTGCCAGAGTGTGATTATCACTTCCTTACAGTGTTTTCTCAAGGTCACTCTGGAATTAGTGGTTCCATGGGACCAAGCACTCATCCATTATATGGGGAAAAATGACTAATTGAGGGTGTGAGTTTAATTATATTCATAAGCAAAGGCACAGCGCAGCTCCTCTGACAGGCTTAATAACATCCTCATGTACACAGAGATGGATGGGAAAAATTAGGGTTGTATATTGTTGTCCTTCAGGACAAGATGTCGAAGTGGGGACAGAATAATAAAAATAAATAAATGACTCAACAGCAGCAGGAAATGAGCTGTGGAAGTTAGCAAAGCCAGCCTTATGCAAATACTTCAGCTGGAGATAAGTCCTAAGCATGCATGACTAAAGCGAAGTACCAGAGAGCGGAGTTGTCTTACTGAGCTGCCAGATTAAAATGTGAAAAGGGTACTCAGCCAGGGCTTCACCTACAGTTCTCTCAGAAGTGATGATAATGGCTGAGACAGGGATCTTTAAGATATTGATTTGTGATACTGTAATTGGGAAGCATGGTCATGCTTCACATTAAATTGAGAAAGCATCCATTCTGTGACCAGCGGCTGGAGCCAGCTTCCTTAAAGGATACATCATGTCATGTGCCCTGCATGAGCACCTATAATGCCTTTAGCCCTCTGTTATATAAATGGAACAAAACATTGATATTCACTGTTGTCCACAGGAGGTATCTTAAAAATCAGACACACATGGTATCCCGGTAAATTCACTGCTCTACTCTTCCTGTCACTTCTCCCCACCTGCACAACTGTCCTGCACAATTGCTCCCACATACAGCTGACCATTGTGTTCTCTTGATCAAGATTCACCATAGCTTTCTACTCCTACAGACTCAGGTCTATGCTCCTAAACTCTGCATTTCCTGAAGTTCCCTAAGGTCGAAGACCACCTGCAGATCCTGGAATATCCCCATGTCTGTGTCAGAGCATGCCTGCCACTCTTTTTGAAATTTTTTTTCTTTTTTTATTGTTTAAAGTATTACAAATAGTAGTACATATGTCTCCCACCGCCTTTTTTCCCCCAATTGACCTTCCCCCAACTTCCCTTCCCCTCCTCCCTCAGTACATGCCCTCACTCAGTGTCTTGTGTCCATTGGTTATGCCAATATGTATGCATACAAGTCCTTCAGTTGATCTCTTACCACCCTTCACCCCTCTACTCTCCCCAGCCTTCCCACTGTCATTTGACATTCTGTTTGATGCTTCTTTGCCTCTGTTTCTATTTTTGTTCATCAGTTTATAATGTTCTTTACTATCCATAAATGAGTGAGATCATGTGGTATTCTTCTTCCACTGGCTGGCTTATTTCCCTTAGCATAATGCCCTCCAGTTGTTGTAAATGGTACGAAGAAACCATCAATAAAACAACAAGAAAGCCCATTGCATGGGAGAACATATTTGCCAATGTTAGCTCCGTTAAGGGTTTAATTTCCAACACTTACAGAAAACTCATACAACTTAACAAAAGGAAGGTAAACAACCCAATAAAAACAAACAAACAAAAAAAAATGGGCAAATGAACTAAATAGACACTTTTTGAAAGAGGACATCCAGAAAGCCAAGAGCCATATGAAAACATGCTCAAAGTCACTAATCATCTGAGAGATGCAAATCAAAACCACAATGAGGTATTACCTCACACCTGTCAGAATGGCTATCATCAACAAATCAACAAAAGACAAGTGCTGGTGAGGGTGCAGAGAAAAAGGAACCTTCCTTCACTGAACAGTATGTCATTTCCTCAAAAAGTTAAAAATGGAATTCTCATTTGACCCAGTAATACCACTTTTAGGAATATATCCCAAGGAAACAGAAACACCAATCAGAAAGGATATATGCACCCCTATGTCTATAGCAGCACAATTTACTATAGCTAAGGTTTGGAAACAGCCTAAATGCCCATCAGCCGATAAGTGGATTAGAAAACTGTGGTACACCTACACAATGGAAAACTACGCTGCTGTGAAAAAGAAGGAACACCTGCCACTCTTTCTGGGCACAGTGCTCACCTATTGCATTGACTGATGAGGCCCTTTCTCTGTTTCGCCCCAACACCCCCTGATTCTTGAATAATTTTTGACCACTCTGGCTAAGTTCATCACCCTTTCCCCAGCCTTTCCTTCCCAACTATCCTAAGATATTACACTAGGGTTTATTGTATGGGTGGCATTTTCTTGCAGTAGATTATGAGTTTCTGAAAAGCTGGGACTTCTTTGTTTATCTCTGCCTCTCTGATCCCCCAGGGCACACGGCAGGGATTCAGCAAATGCTTACAGATAGGCTGTTGAAAGGCAGGAGCAAAGAAATTTCTTTAATGCAAACAAATTCTGGGTTTTGTTTGAAAAATAAAGTATGTAAATACTGCACATACTGAAATCTAGAATTTTCCATCGTGCTATAAACATTTGCGACTGTTTTGGTGTGTTGCCAACATTGGTTCTAAATAGGTAGCAAATAATAGTAGAGATTTATTGAAACTTTTCTTTTACTGAGTCTTAATTTGATAAATTAATTGTAGCCCCTCATTCGGGCTGTTTCTCCCCCCCCCTCTTTGTTCACCCTGCTTATAAATGTGGAATGATTCATAAACACATTCAAATAAGAGAAGAGAAATTATGTTTCTTTCTGTATTAGGGCAGAAATTAAATTCAGGGGGAAATGAAATATTCACCATACACTGATGAGTTTGGCTTTGCTGCTCCCATGATAAACTCAAAAAAGTGGGAAAACCCTAAACCTGGTTAATCCACACTAAGGAAAGTCAATGTAGTTATAGGAAACTCTTATCTAAATCAGATGTCCTCATTTTTTGCTCCCTATGATGTGGTCACTCCTGGCCAGTAGCAGAAGCAGCACCTGTGTGCATGAACAAAGATGAATGGACAGGCATCCCATTCTGACCTCTTTGCTCTAGGTCACATCCAGACCCTAAGCTCAGCTAGATGAGCTACAAAAGGGATTCTTGAACCCACATTGGTCTAGCTCACCATCTGAGTTTTCATCGAACAATGTTGAATGTAAGCTCAAATTGGCGGTGATCTACAGCCTTACCTCAGCCATCATGAATATTTAATTATGTTGCTATATTATTCAGGGAGAATTTTAACTGATGGCGCTAACCAGGTCTTTGCTGGCTATCCTTCTACAATTGATTCTGAGGCGTTTCTGTGATCTTCGTTAGGAATGATGATGAGTTTACAAGTCAGGAATGCTCTGAAGGAAAAATTACTTTACTAGTTGCAAATAACTGAAATAGACAAATCAGGTAGAAAGGGTCAGAAATGCCTACGGTTTTAGCTTTGGGAGAGTTTTATTTCTTATGCTGCCACAGGAGTTTTCAGGATGATAATAGACTTTAAGAAGTTATAAAATAGATGGCTCAACAGGGGGGTTTGGAGAACTGTACATTTGGCTTTTGATGGAGCCTATCCAGAGAAACCGTGTCAAAAGATCATTATTTTGTGACCTTGGGGAAAAGCAAAATTGCTAGAGGATTTCCTATTCCTGCTCATGAATGCATGTTGATGTTTATGGAGACAGACTCTCTTTATCTCCCTCTATGCATGCACATTTCACACAAGCACACACGCCCCTCTTCAAGACTGGAGGCTAAGAGCACTGCTATAAATATTCATGAGGTAATTATTATTAATGTCACCAAGGTGATTTTGTTCCTTCTCAATAGAGACGGGTTTTTGCACCTAGAAACCAATCAACTATAGGAGAAATGGCAGCTATGAGCCAGTCCAGCAAAAGCAATCCTGCACATTTTACTTTTGAAATATAGATTATTTGACTAGATATTTTAAGTCATGTTTTGCCCCGCCCCAACATCAATCTTATCCAACAGAGAATTCCAACTCTGGTCTACAATGCAACATCCTTGGGAGCACAGTTTCTAGAGTTTGAAAGAACTTGATTATTACATTCTTTCCTAAGAGCAAAAAAATTAGGCAAAACATAAGGGTGATCCAAAGATACCTCAAGAGATTTCTGGGAAATGATTTTGTATAAAGATGCATTGGTAGAAAATTACTACACATTTACTAGTTTTATTATTTAAAAATTCATATAATAGGCCTTATTAGATAGCTATTCTAAGAATTATAGGTTCTTTCAATCACAAAAAAAAACCCAACTAAAATAGCTACTGGCAACAATCAACTAGATCCTTAGGTATAAGTCATGGACTCTCTCCCAACCACCAGCTGACCTGCCTGGTTACCTTATGTGCATATGTCTTAATATGGGAAATTACTGGAAAGTACTGTTTTGAGAGAAAATGAACTATTTTTGGTTGAAATGAAAATGTGTTTTTTTTTGGTGTTTTTGTTTTTTTTTTGCCCAAGACCTCAGAAAACATGATAAACAAGTTGAATACTGGTGTAGGTACAGGTTAGTGGGAGATATACTCATCAGCACCTCATTAGAAATGTTTTTACTAACTTCTCGTACTCCATTGCCATATCAGCAGTCATCCTTTTAGACACTCTGATCTTGAGTAAAACAGCAATTAAAGTTACAGGAACAGTGAACCTGTATGATGACAGCAGGAGGCGGCAGTGACATGGCACTCACCTTAGGCATCCAGTGGCATTTCGCAGCACCTGTGAGGAATGCAGCTGTATTTTTCGGTCATCCTGAAGGGGTGAATTTTCCCAGCCCGAGTGGGGGATGATCACGGCATTGGTCAACACTGCCAGGGTGTCCTGGATGATTGGCATTTTGAGAGCATCACAAGACGAGAGATTCCAAAGGACTCCTGCAAGGTAGACACAGACAGAGCTTTTGGATGGCCACTGTTTTCTCTCATCTCAAAACCGTTTCCCCTAATCAGGTTAATAGCATGAGCAGAGGGATTAAGGTAGTGTGTCCTAGAGTGCACCTTTAATTTTAGAACACCTATGTGAACCCATTAAAATGTACTGTGGCCTGGCCAGTGTTTGAGCGTTGACTTATGAACCAGGAGATCAAGGAACTATTCCTGGTCAGGGCACATACCAGGTTGTGAACTGGATCCCCAGTGTGGAGCATGCAGGAGGCAGCAATCAATGATTCCTCTCATTATTGATGTTACTCTCTCTCTTTCCCTCTCCCTGAAATCAATAAAAAAATATTTTTCAAAATAGAGTGCTAGGACTATCTGACAAGTGGATGGAAGAACTGTGACATGATTAATCTGTTCCATCAGGGAGGCTAAAAGATTGAGATATTTGATTGACTGGAGGATATCTATCAGGCATCCATTTCACTATTAATAGAAGGAACCCAAGTAGCCAAATTCTTACCAAGATCAAATAGCAGTGAAAGTAATCTGAATCGGACTACCAGGGCATGTTAGTCTTCTCCAAGACCTCTGTATGCACACGGGGTCTGTCTGACTCACTTAGTGTCCATGGAGAACCACCCACCATTGCAAGACCTTATGAGAATCCAGCATCAGGTCTGGTGATGAAAGGTTCAACAAGAAATCTAAATTTCCTGTCACTTGTGACAGTTTTTTCAGCTTTTCCTGAAAGCGACGCTTAAGGAGGAGCTACAGATTGTTCTTTCTTATATAGCAACAAAGAGAGCTGTAGGGCATGTCTTCCAAGGACAAAGTGTAACAGCAATAATGTGGGCTGAGCAAAATAAAACATTTTTAGAACAGATAAAATGGTTCAGGTTTCTACATATTTTAAAAAGAAACTTTAAAATGGCATTAATCTTAGAAAAGGCCGTAAGTATTGAATATACATATAATAATATCACTTGAAAATGCTTTTAAAGTAATTATTCTTTTTGTTGTTCAAACAGTACACATAAAGGGAAAAGAAACTGAAAGTGCTGCTCTATTTTACTATAAAAAAGATTGCATTCTCTATCAAGACTAACATAAATAGACACTATCCTTGCAGATATTGGGGGAAAACAGCACAGTTGTACTTAGAAAAACATCTTTGAACTCACTTTAAAAAAATATATATTTTATTGATTTCTTACAGAGAGGAAGGGAGAGAGATAGAGAGTTAGAAACATTGATGAGAGAGAAGCATCGATCAGGTGCCTCTTACACACTCCCTACTGGAGATGTGCCCGCAACCAAGGTACATACCCGTAACCGAAATCGAACCTGGGACCTTTCAGTTTGCAGGCCGATGATCTATCCACTGAGCCAAACCGGTTTCGGCTGAACTCACTTGTTTAATACGTTTTCAATAATTTTAAACATGTGATTGTATTTTTTCTACTCATTACGAATAGACCACACTTATTTCTGAAATTTGCTTTGCTAGTTTCTTACATTGCACATATTGACCTATCAAAGCGTGTTAATATTAGTCTGAAGCTCAATAGTGTTAGATTGTTAATAACTTATGTAGCTAACAGTTTTAAATCAATTCTATAAAATTGTGACTTTAGAGACAAACTCTTCCAACTATCTTTCAAAGTAACATGGGCTGGGGATTTTATTAAAGTAAATTAAAAGAAACAAAATGGTGTCCTGTATGTACAAATCAATCCTTCAGTATAGGGGGCTGGCTTGAAGGCAATCCCTGCCTGCCTGTTCTTTGTAAATAAAGTTTTATTAGAACAGAGTCATGGCTGTTCATTTACAAATTGTCTATGGCTGCTTTTTTCCACCCCCTATAAGGGAAGAGTTGAATATTAGGGAGAGACTGTAGGACCCTCAAAGCCTAAATAATTTACCACGATAGAAAGATTTTTACCTTGATAGATTTGCCCACCTCTGCTTTACCATCAATATTTTCTCTACATCTTTGAGTTGCATGTTTGCATTGTTAGTAAGATCCAAAATTGAGCATACAAAAAATACTCAATTGTACACAGAAGGTGCTTAAAAATATATTTGGATTTGGACTGATTTGAAATACTAGAAACATTATCATATATATTTATTTTGTTTTAAATACTATATGAACCTGTTTATTTATCCCATTGAGAAATGTTTTATGAAATTTTGGGTAATCAAAATGATTACCTTTGTTCATTTGCAATCTCACAAAAATGTTCTTTTTTTTAAGTAATTAGATTTTCATTTTTAAACAAGCACATTAAAATGAAAGAAATATCTACCCTAGAATTAGAGGATGACTTTGTAAAATATCACATTAAAGAGCTTGTGTCTGTTCTTCTAAGTATACAATGCAAGCATACAGAAACAAAACAGAAGTTTCATTCATTCCAAAGTCCTAATATGAAAATACCAATACATGAAAATTGAGGTTTGCAATTGTTTTAAATTATGGTTGATATGCTGTGCTATAAAAACATACTCCCTCAAACACTAAATAGTAAAAAGGAGACTTTTGTAATTTTACCTGCAATAAATTTAAATGATTGTAAAGGGATTTTATGATAATAAAGCAATTTTTACTATTACCTAACCATCAGAAAAGAGGTCAGAAGAGGGGGAAAAAAAAGATGTAAAGGCCTAATATCTTATAGGCGAAAAGTTGGGGGGAAAAGATGGGATCCAAGGTAATTCTTTATTGGGCTTTTCTCGCCTTTCCTTTCTCATTAATTCATTAATTAGAGTAGCCTAATTCAGAATCATGCATGGACAGATGTTTCCTAGTTCACATTCATTCCACCTTCCAGACTGGCTCCATCTGCGCTTCACATCCCAATGAACTCACAGCAGAATGCCTGACCCATATCTCCAAACTCTCCAGCTTAATTTCCATCTACAGCCCACAGTGCTTCCTGCACTTATGAGAACTATAGGTGGATCTCTGATCATGGACAGCTTTACCACTTCTGTTTGGAGGAGGACTCGGCAAATTATGTAATGTGGCAGAATTTCTTTTGGGGGGAGTTCAGCAAACTAGTTGCAGGAGGCCCTCAATACTTGGAATTTTGATTAGATTATGTGGGCACCAGAAATAAACTTGAGTGTAGAATCAGCAGCCTCAGGGGACATTTGAAATAATGAGCAACATATCCTGCAGGAGTCAAAGGTGGGACACACACACACACACACACACACACACACACACACACACACCATTAGTATTGGCCAGAGAAAGATGAGTGGACAAAAATGAACATTAGAGACATTCTTTGTGAACAAATGAGAAATAGGTATTTTGCTCAAATTTGTCTTCACTCCTTCCTTTTCTGTGTTGGTTTAAATGCCCAAACACTTCCGACATTCCTTTCAAATGGTGGAGTCCAGTCCTTCTCCCCATGAGTGATTCACTCTGACTAACAGACATGGTGGTGACGGTGAGTAACTTCTGAGATTAGGTCATAGAAAAGGTATTGCGGCATCCTCCCAGCTGACGCAAATGGCTTGTCTGAGGGGAAGCCTGTTGTCCTGCTGTGAGAACCCAAAAGCAGCACAATACTCAGACTGTATAGGGTTAATGTTTGATGTTTTAAGCTGCTACAACTTGGGTAATTTGTTAAGCAGCAACAGTAGTTAATGTCCCTTCCCTTCCCTCTCAACCTCCCACTCTCCTTTTTCCTTTCTCCTGTCCTCACGCCTCTCTGTTCCCTTTGTCTATGGGGTCCATTCTTCCCCATATAACATTTTCATCCCCTAGTTTCTTCATTCTAAGTTAGACCCACTTGTTCTTTCATTCCTTACAAGTCCCCTATCCTCTTACTGAAGTCCATCCTGAGAGTACAGAAGACACAGGAAGATCCAGCTCAACTTTGTAACTAAATTTAAAATGAATTTTAACTTAGATTGCGAGTGATATTTAACTTTGAAAACTGTGTCCTCTTTATGATTGAAATTTATAAATGGCTAAATACTGTCTTTGAGTTTGAATAATTCTGTATTAGTTTCACACTGTTGCTGTAACAAATGTTCTACGAATGTAGTAGCTCAAAACAAAGTGGATTTGTTATCTTAGCTTTCCAGAGGTCTGCGTCTCCAATGGATCATAGGATTGTGCTCCTCTGGAGGCATTAAGAGAGGATGCCCTTGTTTTTTTAGGCTTCTAAGGGCTGCCTGGGTTCCTTGGCTTGGAGGCTGGCATCACTTTGACCTCAGCATCCACATCACTTCTCCTTCTCTGACTCTGATCCCATTATGACACTGTGATGACATTGAGCCCACCTGGATAACCAGGACAATCTCTCCATCTCAGGATCCTTCACTTAATACCATGTGCAAACTCCCTTTTGTTATGTAAGAAAACATTCACAAAATCTGAGAATTAGGACATCCTTGGGGGACCATTACTTAGTGTACCACACATCCCCTTAAAGTACTAGTATTCTGTTTGCTTAAAATAAAATTAAACCTCTAACTGTAGCTTCATGATCAGGCCTTTCCCTAAATTTATCTTTAATCATATCCTTTCATTCACCCATTTGTGCATTCCATGCATATTAAGGACCTGCTGCTGTGTGCCAGGCTCTGATGGATACAGTGGGCATATTAGTGAATGCCCTCGTGGCCTTTTATTATTGTAACTCTAGTCGTTCTGCTCTGGCCACCATGGCCTTACTTCTCTTTGAGCACACAGGCTCGCTTGTAAGGCAGATCTCTTGGACTTCCTGCTCTCTGTTTGGACCATCCTTCTCCAGGACTGTTCCAAGGTGGGTCTTTTTTTCTGCTCACCTGGCACGTTTAAATGTGCCAACCCAGCAAAAATTTTCTGGATCAGTCTAAACTACCCTCCCAGATACTTGCTATCAGATACCCTATCTTAGTTTTCGGCAGAAACCTCATCACGAATGCACATTTCCTCTGCATTTCATTCTTTGACTTTTTGTTATTCGCTTGCTCACATTCTTCCTCACAAG